ATTAGATTTGTTATTTAAAATAATTACAGCAAATAACAGCTTATTAGACATCAATACTAATTAATTAAATGATTGTATAAATCTATGAGATGATTGCAAAAGTATTAGAGTATCTTTATACTGTATAGTATACTGTATACAGTGTTTACAGTGCAATCATCTCATTTACTAATGATCACTAAAGTTGTGTTTGGATTATACAGTAGAATTTCACCCTAAATCCAATGAATGATAATTTTAAAGCATTTATTCATAACACATTATATTTGTTCATTATTCTTGTGAACTATATTTTTTTCATTTAAATTATCGATATTTTAAAGATTTTCTCTGATTATAAAAATAAATAATCGAAATAACATATACTGTAAACTTAAATATTTTATCATATTTTCTAGTATTTTATTTATACGGGTTACTTAATGTTTAGTAATAATTTAATATATTGTTGATGAATATTCAATATATTATATTTAAATTTTCTACCAAATTATTTAAGAATTATAAAAATTACTATAAAATTGAATTTAAGTTACTAAAATAATCTTAAATTATTGTGGTTGGACAATCTATACCACTAATAAACTTATATTAAATTACTGGTAATGATTAAAATGGTATGCTACAAAATACATTTATTTACATGTATTTTTCTTATATTTCTTAAGAATTTTGATATACTTTATATTCTAAATATACAGTATACCGTACAATTTGTAATTTATTTTCTTTTAGTATTCAAATTCAAATTAATTCAAATTATTATTAGCAATGAAAATCATTATCTTAATGGATTCTTAATCGATGAATGTTCTGATTGGGAAGCTTAAATCTTATCTATCACATTTCCTCAATAGAATCATAATCGTTTAAGATATTGGTTCAAAAATTCATACACTTGACTACTATTTAATGACATATTATATTTATACTATATAGTGAATAGCGATTCCTATCTCATCTCCTGTATATCCAAATTCTAGTCTCGTTCACTTAATACGAAAAATACCTTTTTATACATTAATGATCTTAAAGACCACTTTTAATGCTTTATTCAATAGGTTAATAGAATATCACTTATTGTATTATCGCATAACACATTAAATTATATGATTATTAAATATGTTAACTCACTAAAAAATTATTCATTGAAACAATTATTATATTATATAAACGAATAACAATTCAATACCTGTACTATGGTTACACAAATAATTTCTAGAACATAAAGGTTTTTAGTTTTAGTGCAGTAATTGGATTGAAATGAAAATTTTCACATTAAAACATATTAAAACATTAAATTTTAGGAAATCAAAAATTATCTTTCTCATTAGAATATAAACAATTTATGCATAAACAAGTAATTAGTAAATGTTTGATAATTAAAGACTTAGCCAATGTATAATCTTTAGGAATCACAAACTCTATTTAACCGACAATTTTAATATTGTTTATTTAACTTAATATTCATATGTAAAAGAAAGTACCGTAATGATTTAATAACATGTGTAATACTGTATTCATTTAAATGCTAGTTTTATTTCGCAAACATATTTATATTCATAAGAGACGGTTTAGTGAAAAGTTTCTGGTTTTGACATCTCTTATAGTATTGTCTTCAAAGTGTTGCCAAAATGGGAAGTTATTTGGCCTCTGATCTGATTCTACATTGGATTCGTTGACAACATTCCGTCACATCCTCTCAATTCTCATCAAATATTTTCACAAAAAATTTTCTAAAGTATTTGAATTCACATCAAATCAATATAAAAGGAATGTTTGAGTAAAATATAAATATAGGTTAAGCTTAGAGAATGCATTTTGAAGGTTAAGTTTTGTTGAGTTGAAATATTGCTCCCAAATTTTCACTATAAATAAATATATAGGAAATGACAACACAGGCAGACATCATAAAACATCATAAATATATTTGCAAAATTGCTTGAATTGACTCATTTTGAAGCGTTGAAAAATGAGACATCGTTTAGGTAATGGATCCATTTCCATCCGCTAACTATCAGTGACGTGTTGATCTTAGACACGAGTATCCGTATCCGTAATTTTCAAACTATTTTTAGTTATTTTACAAATTAGAGATCAATTAGATTTAAGAGCACATGAGATGAGGCCATAGAAAACAAAGAGAGAGAGAGAGAGAGAGAGAGAGAGAGAGAGAAAGGACACTGAGAGGCAATAGAGAGAGCATAGAGTGATGCGAGAGAGGGTAGAGAGCAGAGAGGCTGTGCTTATTGTGATTGAAGTGAAATAATTGAGACAAAGAATGAGAGAAATAAAAACGAAATCATTGGAGAAATGATTATAAAAGTAAAGGAAAGAAGAGCGGAATGAAAGCAATAATAATAATAATACTTTGAAATGTATGTCCCTTTAGAGTCAAATGCTTTATAGTTGAAAACATATTAGATCCGAATTCTTATCCACAATCACCAGAATATGGAAATAATTGTTTTAATAAAATATCAAATAATAGTTCAAAAAATAATTTTATTTGATTTGAAATTTTAGAAAAGAGTCAAACAATCACATATACTATGAGTGCTTTGAATTGATATCACGACTCATATCAAATAAACTGATATCTCGGTTAAAAATTATATAATATTTATAATAAGTTAGTAATTGTTACATTCTATCAGTTTTATGAATATATAATATAAATACTATTAAACCCTTAATATTTATTATACATAACAAGTGGACGATTTCTGGAATCAGTCATATATTTAGTTGATATCAATATTGAGTTAATATCTAAATACAGTAACTGCTAATTAGTAGACTTGGTTTGTCGTTGCAATCGTTTCAATGACTAGAAGTGTTGTCAAACTTTTATATTATTATTGATTGCAAACACAGAACCAATTCGAGTGAAGATCCGTCTGACGGCTCCTCTCAGTGGAGGCTTTAGATCACAACAAATCAAATCACATAACAATCGATAATAGGCTGATGTGTGGCTTCGAAACTATTGTTGAGAAATACAATTAATTAGCGTTTTGTTAAATGACAACAAATACTGCAAAACAATGCATACCTTATCGTCGCTAAGTTTATGTAATTTACATAATATAAGAACCATTAGTGGAGTCCACGTCTCTCTATGGGTCTCAGCTTCCAAAGACATGTAATGCTCGAGCGCTCCGTAACACACACTATATTATAGTAAAGAAAACAATGTATTATTCTATCGATATAATGATAGTCTAAAACAAAATGCAATCAAATAATGCAATAATTACTTCATTATCTTTTGGTCAACTACTGGCCAACAGTCTTGTCGTGTTTCGTCAGAAAAGAGTCGAAATAATATCCTAAGAGCACAACAAAGACTTCTAACTTCTTGATTGAGTAGATTTGGTTTGGCATTGCCGTGAAAGCCAGCCCTCCATAAGACGTTCCTTTGTTCGTGATTTTGATTAAATGTTTTGGCGAAACGATGCGATTGAATGAGACATTGAGACAAACGGATCAATACTTGTGATGAAACCATTGAATACATTCCCTGCTCTTCTTCTTGTTGTTGTTCTGACTGTCGATTGACCGGCGATTTACTGACCAACTCTTTGCTTGGCTTCACATCGGACTCAATGTCTGCCAACAATTCCGCGTCTTCTTTGCGACTGAAGGCCGGGAAGAATATGATGTTATCGATGGTCTGAACCAACTCTAACTGAACAATGCATTGAATTTTCAAACGACTAAACATCTGTTTGACTGCATTTGCTTTGTCTTTCTCGTCGCCACCAGAGTTTGCATTCATTGTCGGTTTCTTTGACGGCGAATAACTTAAGTCATTTGCCTTCCAATCCAACAGTTCCTGAGGAAGTGTCGACTCAAACATTTCAAGAATACAATCGGCGGTCTTAAGCCACGTTTGTTCCGTATATTTCATACCACAAGAGATAACCAGATTTTCGAGACAATTAGTTCCCGAACGCGCCAACTGTTCGTTTTGCTGTCGGACGCACCACAAGAGTTGCGAATAGACATCACTCAACAGCAATGGACTCAATGTGTCGAAGTATTGAGTGAATACATCAATCACTGAATATAAGGCATGATTGCATGTAGTGGTCATCCATTCGGACTTCTCGTTGTGTTGTTCGGGAAGTTTCATGTTATCGAATATTCTGAAGACTATCTGAAACAAGTCTTGCCACCAGTGGTCACAAAACGATGAGCCGTGAGATTTGGTTATTTCAAACATCACAGTCAGGGCACGAGTCCTCACGTCTAACTTACAGGTGCTTACAATGCAGGACAGCTCAAAGAGAATAGGAAACCAACCCCTCACCCAAACCCTGTCCTTCTCTGATGTGAGGTTTCCACTGCTCTGGTCATCCATACTATAGTCGCCAAAGAGGTGCGGCTGTTCGGCCACATATCGGGCACAGGTGCGGATCAGGCGAATGGCTTCCATACTCGTGTCGGGAAAGTTGTGATTACAGGCAAACTCTGACAGACATTTGACGGCGTCTTGAAACGAGTCGATCAGTGAATGGAAGCTCTGGTCGTATATACTGTTGATTATATTACAAGTGGTCTGAAACGCCAAATCAATGATATACTCGTCGTTATCAGAGGCTGCCATTCGGAACACACTGAAGATGTTCTTCCAGCCGGACCTGATCTTACTGGCCTGACTGTTCACCATCTGTGCAATACATCGCACCACCATATCTCGGATGGCAATCGAGCCGTTGCTTTTCATAATGTGCTCAAAAGGTCTTAAGAAATCCTTTTGTTCGAAATCTTGCGCTGTATTTCTCAGCTTGAATTAACTCAACTGATAGGCACTGGAGTTAAGCCCCAACTCTTGAATGCCGTGAACGGCACCCCAAACAGCACCTCTCATTCGTTTGCATTTCCTCTCAAATTGGAGACCATATCATCTTTTGCTGTCGACTCGCTTTCGATGACCAGAAACAAAGATAAAGAGCAAAAAACTTACGATTCAATAGTTGAGACCTCATCACAGAGTGTTGTGGTAGCGGTGGACCGCATATTCACGGGATCCATCAGATTGGACGGCGACGCTATTGTCGACTTTGTTAAGGCGTTGTGTCAGGTGTCGAGTGAAGAGCTCTGCCATCCAACTCATCCGCGAATGTTTAGCCTCCAGAAGATCGTTGAGATCTCATACTATAATATGGGAAGAATTCGTCTGCAATGGTCTCGCATTTGGGAGACTTTGGGCCAACACTTCAATAAAGTTGGCTCTAATCCTAACGAAGAGATTGCTTTCTTTGCCATCGACTCATTGAGACAATTGTCGATGAAATTCATAGAAAAGGGAGAGTTTTCTAACTTTCGATTTCAAAAGGATTTCTTAAGACCTTTTGAGCACATTATGAAAAGCAACGGCTCGATTGCCATCCGAGATATGGTGGTGCGATGTATTGCACAGATGGTGAACAGTCAGGCCAGTAAGATCAGGTCCGGCT